GGGGGGGGGTCCTTGCAAGTCCAGTAAGGTATGAGCAGAGTGCAGTTGGGTGATTTGGGCGAAGTTACAGATTTGATTGCAACATCTGTCTGGATGTGGCACGCGATGCAGTGGTCTCGATGTGCGGCCATCTGTTCTGCTGGCCTTGCCTTCACCAGTGGCTTGACACGCGTCCCAACAGGCAGTTATGCCCCGTCTGTAAATCTGCTATAAGCAAAGATAAGGTTTGTTTGCTGGGGCTTTTTTGCTGCAAAAAATGGGACCCTTTAGCAATTCGATGCTTTTACTGTACATTTAATAAATTTCCTCTGTGAGCAGGTAATACCATTATATGGAAGAGGTGGCAATGAATCGGATCCGCGTGAGAAGGTACCTCCGCGTCCGAGAGGACAACGAACTGAAATGCCACAAGTAAGCGCGGATGAACATTTCTTCTTTTTCTAGAATTTCTGCCTTTTTTCTAGAACTTTCTAGAAATGTAAAAAAGACTGGCGAACATAGTATAATACATTTGCAATTAATGCTACTCTCATTCGGGAGGCGATGAGGATTTATGAGTTCAGTTGATGAGAATCATGGAATTCATTATTGAGAGATGAACATTATATTATTTTCATAATTGTCATCGTTGTTATCGTTATTACTGTGGTTACTGTTACTATTATTTCTGCTGCTGCTGCTGCTGCTTCCGGTGAGAGTTGTGAATGATTTCTGTAATGGGTGCTGCTTTCAGAATACGTTTGGAGGACTGCCAGGCTTTCACTGGGGTGGCGATAATGCGGCCGGTGGAGGCATTCACTTCTCGATGGGCATCGGCCTCTTTCCCATCTCGTTCTTCGCATCATTCTTCAATACAGGAATCGGTGAACGACGTCCCGATGCGCGTATGTCTTTTCAAAGTCTCATCTTCCATTCTTTTCTTCCCTTATTGGCTCTTTTGCGCCACTTTTTTTCTTTGTATACAAAACGGATTGGCTTTTTGCTGTCTTCATCATTCGAGTAGTTTTTGCATGCCTTTGTGCCTCAGTTGGGGAGTTAGTTACCAAAATATTGTTG